CTACTATGTAATTCATGCGAGAAACTTATGCTTGGTATAGGATTACAGGTTGAGGAAGCTGATTGGGACGGCTAAGGAACGTGATGGATTATATGTCTTTGGGTTGAGGCTCAAGCATGATATGGTGATGTTGGTCAAACATTTGAATGATCCTCATTTATGGCACCACAGACTTGGTCATCCTCCCAAAGAAAAGATGAAATACATAGAGTAATTTTTTTTTGGTATTTTTTAAAATAAACAATTGGGCCATTATGATTCTTGCATTAGAGCTAAATAGACTGGGCTTGTTTGTACTAAAAGTTCAATAAAGACTTCATATTATTTTGAATTAATTCACTGCAACATATGGGGAGATTACAAGACACCTTCATTATCAGATACACATTATTTTGCATGATAGTAGATTATTTTAGTAGAGGTATTTAGGTCTACCTTATGAAAGATAAATTTTATGTTAAGAGATGTCTTTTAATGTTTTTATCTATGATTGAAAATCAATTTGCAACACGAGTTAATAAAATTCGAACAGATAATGGATTGGAATTTTAATCAAGCCATTTACTAAATTTATATGCAGAAAAAGGCATTATCTTGTAGATTAATTGTCCCTACACTCCTCAATAAAATAGAGTGATGGAAAGGTGACATTGTTATATCCTTGAAACTGCACGAGCACTACATTTTCAAGCTAGCTTACCAACTAAATTTTGTGAAGAATGTGTTTTAACTACATTTTTTCTCATAAACCATCTACCATCACAATTCACTAGTCATAAAAATCCCTATGAAATTTTAATAGGGAAGAAACCAACTTATGAACATCTCCTAGCTTTTGGGTATTTGGCTTACATGCACAACGCCAAACCTAATGACAAATTTGATGAACGAGGCAAAGCATGTCTTTTGATTAGGTATCCAAATAACCAAAAGGGGTACAAACAATATGTAATAACAAATAAATAAATAAATAAATAAATAATGATAATAATGATAATAATAACAACAATTGTATTTCTTATATAAATTTTAGAGTAGCTATAATAATCTCAAAGGGTGGTTTAATGGAATGGGTGTCAGGATTACATTTACACAGTCTCGTGTTCAAACCATCTCAGTGCAAAGAGGTAATTTTGTTTTTGCTAAAGCCTTGATAAAATTACCAAAATGTCCTTTTTAATAATAAAATAATGATCAAATTTTCCTACTGCCTTTCATTTTGTGGTTCACCACCAATAGAGAGATGGGGAAGCTTTTCCCCTGTTCCTTCTTGGTTTTCAGCCATCACTAGTTATAGGGAGTCTAGATTGCAGTTTGAGTCGTGAGTTCTCCCAGGTGTTCCGTCGATCATTTTCACCTCCCTTACTGCAACGTTGTTTGGTGTGCTTGTGGACCTGAAATTTCAGTTCTCTCTACTCTGTTTCCAGTCTAAGTCCCTCTCTTTTTACATATCGTCGACGTGCTGGTGGGGTGCTTCAGATTTTCTGCTTCTTCTCCTCCTTCACGGTTGCTGAGTTACACCTTCTTCTACTTTTTGCTTTTGTCAATGTGATTTAGGTGACAAGTTTAGAACCCCTCTTCTTGATTGATCTGCACGTGTTTGTATGAATTAATAATCAAATCATAATTCTTCTCGTGCTGCGTTGTCCGTGGCTGTGGGGATGGGGAACTGGAATCTAGCTAAAAAAAATTGTTGTACTAAAAAAGGTTGCTGTTGGTGCCTTCATTTTCTTTCCATGTTGCTACAATAACTGAAAATCTACCTTCCCCTGTTTAGCATGAGTTCAAATTCTCCTTCCCTTCTTTGTCTCTGGTTGGTAATGAGGTATAGAAGTTTAAATTCTCTTCCCTTTTGCTGTTCCTTGCGTGTGTTTGGCTAGGTTGTGGACTTTTTTTTTTCTTTAACTATGTGACATGTAGAGATACTAATTGTAACTTATTTTTGCTTGAGATTAATTTTCCATTGAGGTATATATATATATTATGGAGGTTGATGGATTCAAATATCTTTATTGTAAAATTTTAGGAGTTCGAATTGACGAGGAAGAACTTGGTATTGGTTTTTGACTAGATGCTTGCCAAGTGTTTGATAAAATGCTTGTTAAAAGGAATTTTGTTGGACTATGTATTTTTGAGATTTAACTCACTCATATATAAGAAGCATATATAGTTGGGGAATTAATGACTCTTGAACTTCACGTGAATATTGTAAAGGAATTTAACAATGAAGTGGTGATGAAGATATGTGTAGTTAGTTGAGCAGTAAAAGGATTTATGGTGTGGTTTGGAAATAATGTACATTTGGTGTTCTAACAAAAAGTTTAATTTAATGGAATAATTAGGAATGGCTATTGAGCAATTTTTATTTGTAAAGTCTTGATTTTAAAACTTTGAATCTATTATAATTAAATATTAGGGGTGATATTGTTGGGAGGGAACTTTTGAACTTGTTCAAAGTCGACTAAAACCTTAATATATTTTATAGGGTGTTTAGGGGAGAATAAATTCAATTGAAATTATAAGAGATGAACTTTGAATTTTTGGGAACATTCTAGGTAAGTGAATAGTATCCCAATGACTCGTCAGCAAATACATTTTCATAAAAATATTGATTTAGCATATTTATGTGGCATCTCTTTTATTTATATAACCATGTTTATTCCATGAGAACAATGATAAAGTATTTTAATTTATTTTTATCGTTCATGATCTCAATTTTTTCAACTATTATACATGAAAATGTTTTCATTATATTATATTTTATTATACTATATTTTATTATATTATATGTTATAGAAAGAGTTGGATTCATTCTTCAATTAAGTATTTGAAAGTATCCACTATATTGGAAATGTTGACTTTATGTTTTAAGAATGTGCATGGAACTTATATGGAAATGCATCCATTTATGTTGAGTTTGATGAGTAATTTTGAAAAGAGATAATATGTTGATTTTTGACCCATGTATGCTTAATTTGAAATGTGGGATTTAATCAGAATGCTGGTTGTTAATAGTAGTACCGTTAACCCTTGGCACGTCATGGTATACATAAATAGCAAGGTGGTTAAGGAGGTGCTAGCCCTATGCGATGGCCAACACATGTGAAATGGAGAGATGATTATTCATGAGCATAGTACTCACACTTATTTTCGTGGGCCTTGTGCCTGCGTTTGTTACGTTGGCTTTAGGATCACGCTTGTTTTCGTGGCTTCAAGCCATGCTTGTTGGTTATTTATTCTCATGGACTGTGTGTCCATGCTTGTTAATCGTTCTAATCAAGTCCTATTAAAGAGTTAATTTTGAAAATTAATTTTTTCTTAAAATTTGATCTTTTAAAGAAAACTATTATTTTTACTATATGGAATTTTATATTGAGCTATATAATTCCCAAAGTGTGTAAAAATGTTGATGTTTAAAGGGAACTTGAATTTCTAATAAAATTGTAATTGAATTCATGCATTCATAGTTTTTACATTTACATAACTGTTGATATGTATATAATGTACATGCTATATTATTTTATTAAGTTTATATGAAACTCATTGATGTACATTCTATTATTTTCATCACCCATAATTAGGACGTTATTCACTAAAAAATTATTTTATTCTCTGACAGTGTAGCTGATGTTGTACGTCTTGCTGATCACTAAGGGACTTTTTGATGTGCAAAGTAGAGATTTGTTTGTAAATAATTTTTTTATGTAAATATGAAATATATGTATGGTGTTTTGGAAACATGATCAGGTGCTCTATATAAACTATAGTTAGGGTCCTTGTATGGTTATATACTCTGTTTGCTAGCTAGATGGAGTTTTGCTCTTGATTATGCTTGTAATATAAATTATATTGTAGGATTTTGGGAGGCTATACTTGTAAGATAGGTGTTGCCAAAATTCTAACAAAAATATTATGACTTTTGTTTAAATATAAATTATCTAGGATTTCCTAATTTAATATAAATATAAATAAGAATTAGACAATTTTTTGAATAAGTGTTTTGTACACTTGTCCCATGCCGGTCACTCCTGTATTTTGGGGCGTGACATAATGGTATCAAAGCCTAGGATAGCTATATGGAGCAAGGATTCTTTAATGAGTCTCAATTATCATTATGAACCTGAGCATAATCATAATTGAGGCATCATTAAAGGTCATATAGAGAGCTTATGAATGTCATTCCTTCCTTGCCCTTGACTCTCCTCAATGTATAGTTTTGTATCTTGAAGTTAACATTTCCTTTGTCTCTTTGTATAGTGAAACATGTCGCCTAGACATCGAGTGTCAAGTAGAAGTTCTAGTGTTAGTATAGTTTCTCCATAAAATGATTTGCCCTTAGGAGGTAGAGGGCAGTGTCAAGGTAGGGCTAGGATTCGAGGTAGGCAAGAGCTTTCCTAGTCATCATTACTAGGGGCCACCATCAACTTCATGGATGTTTTTTCTAGTTTACATTGATTTCTTTTTCTCTCTTCTTATTATGTCCATGCCTTACCATATGGATACAAATTTTGATTAGGAATTGATTGTTGAAATTGAGATTTTTCTTTGTTGTAAGGTTCTAACCAACTTAAATTGAAGATTAGGAAGCTCACTTTTGGTAAGAAACTCAATTATATTTTCTTTGGTGGTAGTATGAGTAGTACGGGTTTAGATATGGTATTTCTTTGAGTTGAAATTGATTGTAGTTGGAGGAATAAAATTTGAGCATTCAGGCAAATTTAAAATTTAGTATTGGAAATTGTGGGAAATAGATTTAAAGAGTTAGATGTTCTTGTATGGTTTGATTTTGAATGCACAAAAGATGTTTGATGAAAGGTATAAGTCAAGAAAATAACTATACATTTTTGATGATAGTTTATACATGAGGGGTTCGAACTTTGTCCCTATTATGATGTTGAGCTCTTGGTGGTTTTAAAGTTTTAATTTGAATGATAGATTAGTTCATTTCATGCTTGCAGTCTTCAATAAAATATCATTGTTTTTAGTGCTTCAATTTTGAGCTTACAATAATAATAATAATAATATTATATTATTATATTACTGCTGCTGTGCTGCTGCTATTGCTCCTGCTGCTGCTACTGCTGCTGCTGCTATTACTGTTGCTGCCGCTGCTGCTCCTACTACTGCTCCTGCTGCTGCTCTTACTACTGCTCCTGCTGCTGCTACTCTTGCTACTGCTCCTGCTGTTGTTGCAACTGCTACTCCTGCTGCTGCTACTACCACTACTGCTGCTACTGTTGCTACCACTACTGCTGCTGCTGTTACTACCACTGCTGCTGCTGCTCTGCTCCTGCTCCTCTTGTTACTACTACTCCTGCTGTTGCTGCTCCTACTCCTGCTATTACTACTCCTGCTATTTGCTGCTCCTGCTACTACTACTCCTGCTGCTGCTGCTTCTGCTACTGCTGTTACTCCTGCTGCTGCTCTTACTACTCTTGTTGCTGCTGCAGCAGGAGGAGTAGTAGTAGTAGCAGTAGTAGTAAGAGCAGCAGCAACAGGAGCAGCAGCAGGAGCAGTAGTAGTAGCAACAGCAATAGTAGTAATAGTAGCAGTAGCAGTAGTAGCAGCTAGCAGTAGCTAACCCTTTTATACTCTGTTTTATTTATGATTGAAATTTGGTTTTTCTATTTCCTTAAGATTTAAATTTTCTCTAAAATGATTATAGGCTTCTTCAACAGTTTTAGGTAATATTTTCTTAACTGGTTCGAAAATATGGAACCATTCAAGGAACCATTTGGAAAAGTATTTGAACACTTCTAGTCGAACTAGAAAAATCAGGAGTGATTATAATTCTTATAATACAAAACATTGAACCAGGCTTCTTTATAATCAAAATAATTATAAACCCGATCCTTATAATTTTTAGAAAATTATTTTGCTGTATATGGAGAATACCCCCAAGTGGTAGGAGTAAGGACTTGCAATATTTTATCTAACTATATGGATTTCCTTCAGACTCCTTGTGCATTATGCTTATGGAATTGGTGGGTACCAGAATATATTCATAATATATTCTATCTTTTCTTAGGTTTTGTGGAATAAAATTCCAAATTTCTTCAATTAGATAGGGAGGAAATATGGATTGAATTGTATCGGCTATATTTTGCTTTCTGAATTCGGGTTCAACAGGACATACATTCATTATGAATTCTTTTGGGACATATTAGCTGAATTCTGTTTCTTTGAAGGGCTTACTTTTGAGCTTACAGCTTGATTATATTTCTGTGGTTTAGGAGATTTGTCTGATACATAATCTCATATTTTCATTAGTCTGTCTGACTTTTGAGGAGTGTTGGCTGTATTGTAGCTTTATCCTTTCCTTTATCCTTCTTACTCATCTTTTAATTTTCCCTGTAAAAATTCTCTTGTTAAAAAATCGGGTAAAGATTTTTCTTTTCCTTTAATAAATTGTATTTTTGAAATCAAAGCAAGATAAAATAGCTTGCCATCTGGCAAAAATTTGTTTTGATACAAGATTTTTGACATCTTTTTGTAAAACATCTTTTGCTGCTTTACAATCAACTTTTATCAAAAAAATTTGATTTATTAAATCTTCTTGGAATTTTGAAAACATAAAACAATTGATAAAATTTCTTTCTTTATGGTGGAATATCGCTGTTGAGCCTTTCTCCATACTCTAGAGTGGAATCTCACTATTTTTTCTTTATCGTCTTCTAACTGTTTTAGGATTCCTCAATATCCTATTTCAGATGCATCAGTTTCAACTATCTTAAAAGCTAAAGGGTTAGCTATTTCTAAACAAGGTAAACTTTTGACTTGAGTTTTTACTTGTTGTACTATCTTTGTCATTTTATCTGACCAGTCTGGTGGATCCTTTGTAGTCTTTTAAAGAGTGAGCAATAATTGTCCTAATTTGCGATAAGAAATCTGCTACATAATTAATACATCCTAAAAATCTTTGCAATTGATTTTTATCTATTATTTTATCTGGGAATATATCAGCAAATTCTATGACTCTACTGGTTAGCTTAAGACTTCCTCGATAAATTTCCATACCAAGAAATTTTATTCTTACTTGAAATAATTTCATTTGTTGAGCAGAAAACAACTAAACCATTTTTCTTGATAATATCAAAAAATTTATTTAAATGTTTAAAGTGATCTTTAATGGAATTGGAGAACACTTAAACATCATCAATATATATATACAATTGTGAACTTACTAAAAGGATTAAAAATATCATTCATTATTTGCTAAAATTCTAAAAGGGCATTTTTTAATCCAAATGGCATTATGTTCCATTCGTAATGACCAAAAGGAACTGTGAAAGTAGTTTTATATCTATCTTTTTTAATTATTTGTATTTGATAATATCCTGACTTCATATCAAACTTTGAGAATATTGATGCATTGGATAATCTTCCTAATAAATCCTTTTTATTAGGAATAGGATATTTAATTCATTTAAAACTTTATTTAAAGGTTTATAGTTAATAACTAATCTTGGAGCTCCTCTTTCTATTTCTACTAAATTTTGAATATAGAAAGCAGAACAACTCCAAGGAGACTTACTTGGCCTAATTAATTTTTTCTCAAGAAGCTGTTGAATTTCTTGTTTACAGTATTCGAGCAGTTCTTGATTCATTTGTATTGGTCTAGCTTTAGTGGGAATTTGTCTTTCATTAAAATTTTCTTCATAAGGTAATTCAATAGTATGTTTTTTATGGTTCCAAAAAGCATTGGGATGCTCAGAACAAATTTCTTTCTCAAATTCTTTTATAAGGATATCAATCCTTTTTTGTATTTGAGAATTTTTTATTTGTTCTTCTATTCTCTTATAATGAATTTCTTTATTAATGAAATTTATTTGATTTTGTTTTCTTTTGACAGTGTTAATCTTAAATGTAGATTCTTGCTTTAGCATTTTAATTTCTTTACTGACTTGCGGACTTATCCAATTAAAAATTATTTTCTTTCCGGCTATTTTAGTGATTATACCTTCTATTCCAACTTTAAAAGGTATAATTTGTTCTAAAACAGGAGTTCCTAAAATAGCAGGTTCACTTAAGGTTTTTACTAACATGAATATGTTTTTAAAACATATTTCTTGGTTACAAATATGCGCATTTGTTAATTTATATTTTATATCAAGTCGAGAATTATTTGCTGTTCCAATATTTTTCATACGTTTTCTCATAATATTTAGTAGGGATTAATCCTTCTTGAATACAATTCATATCTGCACCAAAATCATCTAAAACTACTAGGGTTTTAGTAAATTCTTGATTTATTACCAAACTAACTTGGCAATACCATTTTTGAGTTATTTGAGATATTATATTAATATATCTATCTTGATTAATTTCTATTGAAATTTCATTAATATCATCTTCATTTTTAATTTTTTCTGTTTCAGGGTTTCCAATTAAAGCCTTATTTGTAATATTTCAATATCTCTCTGGATTTCATTATCTTTTAATTCTCTTATCTCTTGCTTAATATTTCTAATTTCTTCCTGTAATTCTTTTATTCCTATAGTTTTATTGTAAGAATTATCAAATCTTTTTATTATTTTATTTATACTAAGGGGTTTTAATGTATATTCTGAATTATTCTTATCTTCCCTATCAATAATATCCTTTATTTTTAATAAATATTGATTTTTTATCTTTTCATCCTGAATTTTATCTATTATTTCAATTAAAAATTTTAAATTTTTTATGTCTAAGGTATTTATTTGTAATTTTTCTGAACAATTACAAATTTCTTTACCTTGACAGTCTTCTTCAGATGAATATTCTGAAGAGGAATTAATATTAACATTAAAAAAATTTTCTAATTCTTTTTCTTCTTCTTCAGAGGTTTCCGAATTAGATTCAGAAGATTCAGAAGAATTATTTTCTAGCATTATCCTAAGCAAATTTTGTTTATTTTCTTCACTAATTTGTAGTTCCCTAATTTCTTTTCTACTTTACATTTGGACGCATAATGTCCAAATCTTCTACATTTAAACAAATAATTCTTTATCTTTTTAATTTATTTTTTCTTATAAGGTTTATATTTTTATTTTTCTGAAATTTTTGTATTTTTCTTTCTGTTTTTGTAATAAAAGGTTTTATCTAAGGATTTAAAATTCCTTTTTCTTTTTTATTGAGGGAGCTTGAATTTCTCAAAACCATATTGTTCACAGGAATCTCCTAGTTCAAGCTTGCCTTGTTTAGTCTCATTATAAATTTTCTTTTGCATTTTTATATCATTACATAATTTTAGTCCTGTAATATTAATAATTGTATTATTTCTTCATATGTTAAAGTATTATAGTCCATAGCTCCTAACCCTTGTCTTTGTTTTATTTCATTTTTTTACTTTTTCAGCAAAGAGCATTGGTAATCTAGAAATGAATTTCTCTTTCTAAATTTCTGAATTAGCATCTCATCTTTGAAAAGTTTAGGTATAAAATTATCTTTATACCATCTGAAATCTACAAGGGTTGGACATCACAGATTCATTAATTCAGTTAAATATTTTTCTTGTATCCCTGTTGGTTCTCCTACAAAATGTTTTATTATAGCATATATAAGTTGAGCAATATTATTTAGGTAAGTGGTTTGAACTTCTCCTTCTATTTAATTGAATGCCAAGTTTTTACTTGATGTCTTTCAGTTTCTAAGAGAACATTTCCCATCAACCTTTAGACTTCCAGTAAACCTTGTGTTATTAATTCAAATATATTATTATCTTGAAGTTTGTTTATCCGGTTAGCTGCAACAGCCATTGTTATTTCTTGAGCTATATTCATTATTCATATTCACTAATCCATCTATATTCCATTCATATATGAAAGATCCCTCATAATGATTATTCCAACCGCAAACTTCTTCAGCTTATAATCAAAATGCTTCGTTTTGTTGTTAATGGCGAAAAGTGATGAGTCTAGGCTATAAGATTATTCACCATTTTGTCTGATATATTTTTTTGTTCCATATTTGGTTTGTTTCCACACTTTTCCCATTTGGTGTGGCTATTCACCTTTTATCTGATTTTTTCATCTTTTAAACTTTTCAAAAGCATCAATAAAGAACTAGAAATTTCCTTTAATATAATCATAAACAAAAATAGGAGAAAATTTACCCAAAACTATCATAGAAAGTCATATGTGTGTCAAAACCAAATATATAAGATACACATTTGTTCCTAGTTTGGAGTCTAAAATATGTACAAAAGTGTCAAAATATATTAAAATCCAAGAAAATTCTATTCAAATTACATAAAATTCTAGATGTTAACACCAATCTCGTTGACTTGTTGTGATCAAACGTACTCATTAAAACCATAACGTCACTTTTTTATTTTAGTAATTATTAAATTTTTTTTTACCAGTAGTATGATTACATGTTAGCTCATTAAAAAAACTTGTTGAATATGCTGTTTATTTCTTCTATTATATATATAATGAGTTTATCATGGAAACTTGAAGATCATCTAATACTTAAAATTAAACATGCTTTTCTTTTACCAACATGTCTTATAAAAAATGAAGTGACGTGCAGAAAAAAAGTGGCCCGTAATTTTAAAATGAAAAACAATATTAAATTTTATTTTTTGAATTAAGGGGCAAGAATTAATTAACAACCTAAAGTTACAAGTGGGATCAACTTACAAATTCCCATCCAACTTACAGGAGAGCTTATATGCCACTAGGCTATAATATGAAATTGATTCTCATAAACCCAAAACCTATTTACAAAAACAAGTTATATTCCAAAAAGTAGTCATAATTATTACGTATAAAGCAAAATTTTACAACATCATTGTTCCAATGTAGAGAAAAAATGGCGTACGTAAGTCGCTAATGAGGTAATGCGAGCATCAGAAGTAAGAAATTATTGCCTTCCGCGTCTTTTACGTTCAGAAGACTAGTTTTAATTTGAATGTCATAAATCAATGGTTTTCTGGGATTTTAACGTCCAGCTAGCAAGTCAATCTTTCCCTCAAAACACGTTCTTCTACTTTTCTTCACCCCATAACATACGGATCTGACTTCAGTGATGAGATCTGGCACTCATCAGTGTGATGAGATCTAGACCATCCAGATTTTGATCTGGATGGTCTAGATTAAAGTAATATTTTATTTTATATTTATTAAGGAAATATTATATTATTTCATTTTATATTAAACTGTACAGAGATACCCTGTACAATTTATAATATAGCAATTATAAAAATTTTAATATTAATTGGACACTCTAAATTAAATATAGACCAGATTAAAAATAAAAATTTATTGAAACTACATTTTATAATTTTTAAAAATTATACAAAGTACATCTGGATAGTTAGAATATAGTAATTATAAAATTTTTAATATTAAATTAGACCCCCAAATGAAATCTAGATCAGATTACAAATAAAAAATTATTAAAACTATTTTATGATTTTTATTTTTAATAAAAATAAAATAAAATAAAATAATATTGCTTTAAATCTAATCTGAATGGTCCATATCTCATTTGGGTGACGAGCACTGTAGACAAACCCCCATAACATACTCATTACAATAGAGATTATTCAATTATTCATAAGGAAAATCACATGGCTTCTGTTAAACAAGTTTCACTTTCGTTACTAAACCTTCTTCTCATTTCTTCCTTGTTGGAGATCTCCAATGCACTGGCAGCTGCATTAACGTCTACTAGGGCCAAAACAGAACCAAGGCTGCCTCGCCAATGCATATGACACCAAAAACTACAAATACGTCAACCTAGCTTTGCTTCTGCCTTTTGCAATAGCCAAAACTCTTAAACTTAACCTTACTAGCCACTGCAACACAACAGCCAATACATGTACCAGAGATTGCACAGACATCAAAACTTGCCAAACTAAGAGCATCAAACTGCTTCTCTCACCAAAAAAAAAAAAAAGCAAATTAGTGATGGAATTAGTGATGAAAATTTATTCCGTCACAAATCCGTTGCTAATTTACTAGATAGGATAGTAACGGAGCATTCCTGTAGCTAAAACATTAGTTGCTATTCCATCGCTAAAACCATCAAAAAATAATTTTACTGATGGCATTTAGTGATGAAATGTTTCATGACTAAAAATTCTATCACTAAACCTTCAGAAATAATTCAGCGATGGAATTTTTTGACAGAAATGCCCGTCGCTAATTTTCAAGATGCGTTGTTATCATTTTGTGATAGCATTTGCGATGGAAAATTCTGTCGCAAACCTTTCCATCATAATTCCATTGCTAATTGTTTTAAATTTT